GGGTTATTGACTATTGTTGTCTGTCTTGACTTTTTTTTTGACTACTTCAAATTCATATCTTAGCATATATGCACTAAGATTTTTTTTTTTTTTGGGTTCTTTTAACTTGAACAATATGCGACTTTGTTTGATAGTTGATAGTACACACTAAAATTCTAACATGTGTTACGCCCTATCTTTAAGAAAAGAGTGGGATAATTAAATTAAAGGCCTAATCAGATCATTAATTAATTATTTTTTTTGCTTTAGGAATCAATTAAAATTAATTTTTGTGTCCTACGTACCGACCCTTGTCTGTGTATGGTTCTTTAGTCAGCATAGTCATGATGGTCAATGCTGAGGATTCCCCTTACGTGGCATTCTGTGCTCCCCAATCTGTTGGCATACGTGGCATTTTGATTCTGTCTTATTATATAAAAATCTTTAACAATCATGACCAATTAAATTTTTTTAAAAACAAAATCTGATAAAAAGAATACAAAGAATTACGTATAATTTTTATATCAATATGTTCAATTATACGTTTACTGATGATTGCTTTGATTTTTCTTACTAATTTCTAGAATATTTTTAATGTATAAATAAAGGAGAGATTGATGTGGTATTATTTTATTATAATTATTTTATAAATCAAATGACGTAACAGGACTCTCGTCGTCACGCCGCCCCTTGAAGGGTAAATGAGATAATAGAATTGAGTGAGTGCTTAAAAGGCGATTTTGCTGTCCATAATGTGAACATAAGTGGTCCCATAATCCATAATTATTATGAGAGTTAAGGAGCTTTCACACATAATATTAATATTCATTCATAATTACTCCCTCCGTTCCTTATTATAAGAGACGAATAACCGAATTACGTTGATCAAAAAAGCAGTTAAAATTAGTTAAGAACAATCAATATAATTTTTTTTCCAAAAATACCCTCATTAATAAGGAGAGAGAGCATGAGAGAGAATAATTAAATTATTGAAAGAAAGAGAAGTGAGAGGGAGAGAGAGTGTGAGTTGGAGACAATAAATATGGGTAAAATAGGAAATCAACACAAAAAAGTAGAGACAACTTTTAAGTGTCTCTTATATATAGGAACATGGCATAAGTATCAAATGTCTCTTATAATAAGGAACGGAGGGAGTACTTCCTAAAGCACTGATGTTTTCCCCTCTTTGTACTTTTCATTTATTACTATTATGACAAACTATTTGACTTTCAATATATTTAACCACTAATCCAAATTTATGTGGTGTTTCTTTATGCTCTTATATTATACGTAAGTAAAGTTGAAAAAATGTTTTATTTTTGGACAAAATTAATTCACGAGTCAACTATTTCTCCTTGATTTTGATGAGATAGCTAGAGGTGACTTGTAGAATGTAGAGTATTTCCCTCTTATCTTTTTTATAAGATCTTTTTAATAAGATTACGTGATTTAAAAAAGTAGTTAAAATAAGTTAAAAATAATAAATATGTAAAACTTAAAATTTTTTTAAAGTATGCTCTTATTTAACAAGGGAGCAACTAGGAGAAAGAGGGTTAAGGAGCTTTCACACATATTAATATTCATTCATAATTACTTCCTAAAGCACTGATGTTTTCCCCTCTTTGTACTTTTCATTTATTACTATTATGACAAACTATTTGACTTTCTATATATTTAACCACTAATCCAAATTTATGTAGTGTTTCCTTATGCTCTTATATTATACGTAAGTAAAGTTGAAAAAATGCTTTATTTTTGGACAAAATTAATTCACGAGTCAACTATTTCTCCTTGATTTTGATGAGATAGCTAGAGGTGACTTATAGAGTATTTCCCTCTTATCTTTTTTATAAGATCTTTTTAATAAGATTAAGTGATTTAAAAAAATAGTTAAAATAAGTTAAAAATAATAAATATGTAAAACTTAAATTTTTTTTAAAGTATGCTCTTATTTAACAAGGGAGCAACTGGGAGAAAGAAATACTAGTAATGAAATAAGTAGTGAAAGAGAATACAATATGAGGAAAGACAATAGAAAATTAATGAGGGTAAAATTGACACAAACACATTTTAAGTTCAAACAACTTTTAATAGGATCTTATTAAAAAAGGATCAAAGCAATACAAATTTTGAGATCTTGTAAATAAAACTGAAGGAAGTAACATGTACAGGAGGGAGTAATAATTTTTTTTCCACATGAACTCAAACCTTATTTAAAAGGACATAAATTTTTTTTTAAAAAAAGCTCTAACTTCAAATAAATCAACACATGTTGATGTTTCTCTCACATTATACACTTAAAATAAAGTAAGACTTTTATTGTGAATAATCTCAAGATTTTACAAGAAAAATTAATTTTAACTAACTTTATTTACATAAAATTGTTTAATAAGTGCTTTAAAAAAGAAAGGTTAATTAACAAAAAGAAAAAGATGAGAGAGTGGATGAGTTTAAGAATGTTAATTTGAATGATTAATTCTGAGAAGAATATAATGGTTTGGGTGTATAAGGGACAGAAGAGAGGATGCATGTATTTGAGCCATTTTGTGAGGGACCCCATTTGTGTTTGTCTTGATTAAAAGACTGTAAATTTGATTGTCCTCTTTATCACACACAAGATTTGAAGTTGCAGGTGTAATTGAGTGGTCTCTTAAATTGAAGACATAAATCACATCCGTGTGTTCTTGAGCAGGATGAGGGGGAAAAAATTATGATAATAATTGCTCTTGTTATTGATTTTGAAGGAAAAAAATTTCATGAATATTGTGTGTGTGTGTGTGTTAACTTGTTAAAATATTATACAATCTTTTATTAATGGGATTGGATCAACACTAAAAAATTAGTACTCATTATTCATTTAACATATAACAAGACTGTTAAAAATATAAATAGCTTGAACCTTTTGATAATACTTGCTCATCAACAAAATTTGAAGGAAAAATTATTCTCTCTTTTTTTTCGTCTGCCTTTAACAGTTTCTCTATCAATTCAATCAAAAGATTTGAACAAGCTACAACACCTCATTTTGGATTAGAAGTGCACAATTTGTATTCTATTATCATTTTTAACTTTTTAAAAATCTAAATTATTATCTAAAAAATCAACTTCTTGGGCTAGCTTCTAAAAAACATTAATGGAAAACTTCATGTATTTTGCATCATATTTTTTTTTTGAAGTAAAATAATAAAATCTTCAAATCATGTCTAACCAATCTGATAGGGATGTCTTATATTAAGTCCAGTTGGAAAAAAAATCATTTTATTATTGGTATGGACAATGGACTATGGAATCCAGAAGTTGGGCATGGATAGAATATCCTACACTACGGTTCAGTTTAATTGAATGGGATATATAAAGTGTAAATAATCCAACTTTTTTTTTTACTAAAACATAAGTATCTTCTTATTAGAGACAATTCTATTCAAAGAACTGTCAGGTATTAAATGTAGGCACTTCTCCCAATAGGGATGCAAACCTTAGTTCATCATATTGTGAAGGACTAACTCCTTCCGTTAGACCTAATTCCGTTGGTAATCCAACTTGCTTTAATTAAAAAGAAGGGGGGAGGAGGGATCCGCACAATCCATCAATTATTGTGATCAAGTTTTAATGTGAATATGAAGCCAACGAGGCAGACCTTTCAACCTACAAGCCATTTGCCCATTGATGTGTGTTTCCTGCACAGAGCAGGGCAGGTCTTTCAGGACCACATGAGATTGCAACTATTCTATGACACCCAATACTTCATTAACACGTGATAATGAAAGTTCTTTCTCTTTTTTATTTATTGATATTATTAATTATTTTCGTCAAATTGATTTTTCTCATTGAATGAGGAAAAGGACATACCTGCCTTAAAAGAAGCTGCAGAATGGGATTTTTCTTGTTAAGCTTGACATGGAAATAATTATTTGTCTGTGACCAAAATTTACTTGTCGTTTTGTAGATCAATTCAGCTTATGAATTTTTTCCCCTAATGGATATTAGTATATATTAATTGGGTGATTTCTTATTGGCTACTGCATGCAGCTTGCATTAAAAAAGGAAACAGATTAGAAAGATTTCCAATGACATGTCAACGTGTTAAAATTAAACACCTCATTGCAAATCAAACATGTGGGCCTTTGTGTATCACATTAAGTGCCAAAAATAAATTATATTACTAATGATCTTATAATTTAGTGACAGGTAAGTTCTTCTTATAAGTGAGAGTTCGATCTCAGTCCTCAGACCGTTAGTGCCTGCCTTTTTAATTCAAAAATAATAATAAGTTATACTCTTTCTGCTCTTGTATATAAGCCGTTCCTAATATAGGTGAGCTAGGGAGATTACCACTCATATCTTATAAATGATACGGCTTACTATAAATACATACACACATATATATGCAGAGATAAATCTTATCCATCTTCTCATTAAAATACCAAGTCTTCTTTAGAAGTTCTCAAATAGTCCCATGACACATGGGTGAATGTTACAATATGGTACAAAATGATTTCCTTCGTTAAAAAAAAGTTTGTTGACTATTATAAAATTATTAAAAAAAAATCAGATAACAATCCCGTAAAAGCACCTAAGTTTTGTCATTTTCCAAAAGGGTCAATGGTAGTACCAAAGTAATTAATTGACAACCCAATAAAATAAGAAGGGAAAGGACAAGAGAATCACTCAAAAGTTGTCCAACAGTAGGGATTTTGAGTTGAAACAACAGTGGCAGTGCAGTGGTGGTAGTGCAGCAGCACAGCAGATATGTAAGCATCAGTCCTTCCATGTTTTCCTTGAAGCTGCCACTCACAGTTCCATTCTTTCTCATTGTTTCTTCTTCCTCTTCTATCTTACCCTACATGAATGGCCCAAGCAAAAGGTCCCTACATGGGGTTCAATCATGGGCCAGAGTCCTAATCAAGCATACATGAATGAAGACTTCACGTGCCTTATGGTCCAACACAGACCCCACCAGCTCCATTTCTTCCTCACCTCAAGAATGAATCGAGTCCAACCCTCAGAGTCCTTCTCATCCGATCTAATGGCGGGATTCGCGATGTTTACATTCTGACAACCATGGATTTCAACAGCAACAACATATACGTGTGTGTGTGTGTGTGTCAGGTAGATAGGAGGAGAAGTATGGCGTACCTGTCGTTAGAGGCTGAGGAGGAATACTGCACTGTGGGGGAAAGCATGGACTTCTTTCTAAATTGGGAAAAGGCATCGTTAAAATTGGTTACTGAGCATATGTTAGAGACACGTCTGTCCTTGATGGAAAGATGGTGTTGTGGTTGCAACTGTTTGGTAAAGTAAGAAAGATTTGTGAAATCTTTCTTTGTTGTCACTTTCCTTCTTTAACTTGGCTCCTGTATAAAATAGCCTCGCCGTCTCCTTTAAAACAAACGAACCCAAAAAGGCGAGCCAAAAGAAAATCTTATAAAAACTTTCTACCTAGTAGGCAGTCTTCATACGGATTCCCATAACTGAAGATGGTTTGACTCGGACTCAGCCACCCACACAACTTCTTTAAATTCTGGCCCAACCCTTTGAACTCTTCACTCTCCATCACCTCTTCTCTTTCTGTTTGTTCTGCCTTCCACTTTCAACTCTAAAATGAGTTTCCCAAAACTCGTCTCTTTCAGAGAACACAACAATTTATTCATCAGAGGCTTCATGATCTTGTTCCTTAGTTGTATAGCCATTAGGCTTAACTTCTGCATTTCCAGCATCATACCTTCTTCCTTAAGAACACTTCCCCTTGAAGGACATCTAAATTTTGATGATGTCAGCCATGCAGCCCGGGACTTTGGCAACAGGTATGAACATCATCCGATGGCAGTGCTGCACCCAAAATCAGTTTCTGATATTGCAGCCACTATCAAGCATATCTGGCAGATGGGTCCCCGATCACATCTAACGATTGCAGCTAGAGGCCATGGTCACTCCCTCCAGGGCCAGGCACAAGCTCACGGGGGAGTTGTGATCAACATGGAATCTATCAAGACCCCTGAAATGCAGGTATATACTGGAAATCATCCGTATGTGGACGTCTCCGGAGGCGAGCTGTGGGTAAACATCCTGCATGAAAGCCTAAGATATGGGCTAGCACCAAAGTCATGGACAGACTACCTGCACCTGACCGTTGGAGGCACTCTGTCCAACGCTGGAATCAGTGGGCAGGCATTTCGTCATGGTCCCCAGATAAGTAATGTTCAGCAGCTGGAGATTGTAACAGGTTCGTAACTTGGTACTAAAACTAAAAATAAAATCAGGGCCAAGGAATGGAGGGGCCAAAAGAAGTATCGCAGTTTCTGTTTTGTCCCTTCTGACTAATAATTCACTTGAAACTGAAGTAATAGAATCACAAGATTCCTCGTTACACATTCGATAACATGATCTCGTTGACATAAGAGAGTCTTAAATAATAAACTGGAAATAATTTTATTTTTAAGAAAAAAGAAACATTTCCTCTTAGATGATTATAAGAGGTGAGTGAATGGTTGCAGGAAAAGGAGAGGTGTTAAACTGTTCTACGGAGCAGAATGGCGAACTCTTCCACAGTGTACTTGGAGGCCTTGGTCAGTTCGGCATAATAACACGGGCAAGAATTTCATTGGAACCAGCGCCCACCATGGTAATGCATCAGTGACTACGAAAAACAAATTCATGTGTTAATTTAAAATTTTGAAAGTATCACTAATCATCACAGGAAAGTACTATTTTGAACAGGTTAAATGGATCAGAGTTCTATATGCAGATTTCAAGGCGTTTGCGAAAGACCAAGAGCTATTAATATCTGCAGAAGACGCATTTGATTACATTGAAGGATTTGTCATAATTAATAGAACTGGTCTGCTAAACAACTGGAGATCATCCTTCAACCCACACGACCCAGTTCAAGCCAGTAAGTTCAAATCAGATGGAAGAACTCTCTTCTGCCTAGAATTAGCCAAATACTTCGACCCAGACGACAATGATGAGGCAAATCAGGTAAGGCAAGCAATAGTCCACCTTGCATAAAACATATATGAACAAGCATAGTTATTGAATATTTCTTCTTGTTGGAAAAACAAATCTAGATACACTGTCCCTTACTATTTATCTCATTGTTTTATCTTTTTTGTGCAGGACGTCGAGAAGCATTTGTTCCACTTGAACTATATCCCATCAACACTTTTTCTAACAGAAGTCACATATGTAGATTTCTTAGACAGAGTTCACGTCTCTGAGGTCAAATTGCGGTCAAAAGGCTTGTGGGATGTTCCACACCCATGGCTCAATCTTTTTATACCCAGAAGCCAAATACACAACTTTGCAGAAGTTGTCTTTGGAAATATTCTGACAGAAACAAGCAATGGCCCGGTCCTCATCTACCCAGTAAATACATCAAAGTAAATGTTTCATAATACAGGTTATCTATGCCCATCTTTTAGCTTTAACATGGTATTAACATTTGACGTTGCTTACAGGTGGGACAATAGAACTTCCGTCGTCATTCCAGAGGAAGATATTTTCTACCTGGTAGCTTTTCTCACCTCTGCAGTCCCCTCTTCCAGTGGAACTGACGGCCTAGAACACGTTTTAAATCAGAATAAAAGAATTTTAGAATACTGTGAAAAAACCCTCACTGGGGTAAAACAATATCTTCCCCACTACACTACACAAGAAGAATGGAGGGACCACTTTGGTCCCAAGTGGGAGCTTTTTCTGAAGAGAAAATCTGTTTTTGACCCATTGGCAATACTTGCTCCTGGCCAGCGAATATTTCAGAAAGCAACAGCATTCTCATGACGACAGCCACATTTTATTAAATATGATAAAGAAGAGGCCCTTATACCATATTCGAAATATGTCATTAGCTAAGAGTTAAAGGTCTGGTCAATATTTGGTCAACAGAAGGGATCAAATATTTCAGACATGAATTATTAGATTGCCAAAGCATCCATAGACATTATCATCACTAGACTGAATGTAAATATTAAGTTTGTATACATATCTGCCCTTGTATATTATTCAATGGAGTAAGTTAAGAGCAAGAAACAGAACCCAATATGTATATGGGAATATCTACATCAATCAGGTAAAAAAAATCTATCTTATAACACGTCAGCAGATAACAGAGATAATTAACGTACTATAAAATTATACAACTCTCCATTAAAATGGTGAAATGATATCAGTCTATTTACCTACTGCAATTCATAACCGCCTTATAGTGACAATGCATTAGAACAATATAACAATAATACCTGTCAACTTATCACTGGGACAAATGTGGCAAAAGTGGCTTACACAAAAGTTGCAGAAAATTCAAAAAAAGAAATTGGGGAACTTTGACAACTGTAGCACGGATGAAATAATAGAACCATAATTTACTTTCCAACAGAAAGTAACCAAATAAAATGGGATAATAGTAACAAATCTTTCTTGTTTTCTACCTTTATTATATCCATAATATATTTTTTTCCAGAACAAGAACATTGAAGACAAATTTTTCACGCTGCACACAGCTCAGCAACTGCAAGTCTTTTTTCAATTTTTAGTTTCGCTAATCTTCTCACATACTTTTTATCTTTTTATGCAACATCTTTATGTTACTAAGTTCATAGATATAACTTTGTAAAAGGTAAGAATGGTTTAGAGCAGTTATAAAAACTTCTAAGTTTGGATATGCATGTTTATTTGATAGAATAATGTGATCCATATAGCCACTCCAGTAGGTGGGATAAATCTTGTTGCTACTGCTGTTGTTATTGGGAAATTTATGTTTATGCTTTATATTTATAATAATTTTAGAAAGTAAAAAAATACAAACACATTGACTAGCTATAATCTGACTTTCTGATTTTCATGGTGAGAAGAGAAGACTTGAGAGAAAGTTTCCAAAGTCATATTAACAAAGATACATTGGAAGACGTGGAAAATTGTATATGGTTTTTCAAGTAAAATAAAGGGCCAAAAGTTTCAACTGCCAATAGCTCATTTACTTTCTCAATTTTAGGTTAACTATCAAGCTGTTCACGTTCATGCCATAGAAGTCCAGGGAAATATTTTACTTTCAGTGGGGTATATCTTATCCTTCTTTTGTTATTACTTTATATTTGGACAGTATCACCATTCACACAAAAAACATCAACACCCAAAGGAAACTGAAAGAGCAGCAATATGCTACTGTCCAAGAGATTCCAGCTTTCGCAATAGAAATAGAGGGGGAGAAGGTGTTACAGTAGCTTCTAGACCATTTCCATCAATCAGTGCCATACATATCACTTAATGAATATGGCAACACACACATGACCACATTTGCTACTCTATCACACTTTGATTCTGAAGACTCGCTTCCAGATTCTGCTCAAAATACCTCTCAACAAGCACATAGTAAAGTACAGCACCAACTTTCACATGGGGTGAGACCAGAATGCATCCCTTCAGATGATTCCTTCTGATTTGAAATCACTCGACAAACATTACAGATAGGTGGCTGTCATACTAAAAAGGGGACTACGATAGATAAGATATGCAAGTAGATTATGTTGAAATTAAATAAAACACATATAATTTATGGAAGTTATGAAGTTCTATCATCTCTCACTTGTCTACTCCAATGAAGTTATATGAAAACACAAGTGGTTTTTATCCGTTGAGTGGCATTATCTCATCTACAAGAATACTAAATTTGTAGCTTCTTTTAAAGAAAAAAAAATGCAAGAAGATAAATTTACATAATATAGCAAATGGTTTCTTGCATCATGATATTGCTAATTATTGCGTTTCTTTGCTGATGGCATTACCAACAGCTACTGGAGGATCAGGACATAGAACCACCGGGGCCCATCTCCTGTCCAAGGCAACTAAAATCAAATACAAATGAGCGCCAGATTGACTAGGACAACATTGATGAATTATTCACAACTAGAATCTAACGCACAAAAGCACTCTATATTCTGATGGTCAAAGAGCAAAGATTACCACAATGAAGCCCTAAAAAGAGTTCCGTTGTATGTAGATTCCCGTGATGCATAGATAGGAATATCATTGTTCAGATGTTAACAAAGTGTGCAGTGAGTAGCATGGTGAAATTTTATGCCATAAAAATAATAATAATAACGCTCAAAGGGATGAAAAGAAACAATAGCTCACCCTCAACTTTCAACACAAAGTACCCAAAAAAAAAAAGGGAAAAAACAATCTTATAAATTTTTTGGAAAGCAGAGACACTAATGGCAGCATAAAACAAAAACAATGACCAGATTCAAAGAACCATCTACGTCCCCAAGAAACATTCAAGAACTATTCCACTTTTTTTTTTTGGGGGGGGGGGGGGAACATCTCATGAGAGGTTAATGATCACTATTGTATCATTTCAAATTGATACTATTTATAGATGACTTATGCCAGGTAATATCATAGACAACAATAATTGAAGTGCAGAAAAAGTCTACAAAAAACAGCTGTTGCGATTGACTTACAATTTTTTGATAATGCATTGAGGCTCAGACAATTTTTTACTAACGATTAACTGTCAACGAAGAATCTTCTCAAATAGTGACTGAAATTCTATATATTTTAAAGATATGCAAAGGCTTGATGAGGTTTTGCAAGTTACGTGTTGGCACAAGATTATCCAGCAAGTGCAATGAGACACACAAGCAAATACCATTGTATAAGCAACTGAAATATTTATTTGCATATCATTAAGACAATAACATAAAAATCTGCTGGGGTTAGGCAAAGTCAAATATGCTTTAAGCAGCCCAAGATGGTAGAGAAACAAGAGGAGAGTGATAACAACAATCTTAAAGAAATGGCACCCATATATTGCACAAGCCGGTTGGTGTTAAAGGTCTTCAACAGCAAATGATTGACTATTAAGATCTTATAAAATTTAGTTTATGATTCTTTACCAGGAACTGATCTTATAATTTGTGCTTACCACATGCAATAGTTATGCATGTTATTATCACTGTCAAGGATCACATCAACTCAAAAGCGTAAATTTTTTTAAAGTTAAGGCTCATAAAAAATTGTATCATGATTATATAAAACACATGCCGTTCATACAAAAGCGATTTTTGCTTAAAGTGTGGACAAAGCACAGACCCACTATACCTTGTACAAAAACTTACTTAGATCTAAAAGAATGGAGGGTGGCAGGAATTAGACCCATAATCACAAGTTCATATGAATTTTGATACTATACTATGTTAAGGATCATTCAACTAAGCTTAAAATTTTAAGTGAAACCCCATGAATAGTATTATTATATTTTCTAACAATTAAAAATTATTTATTATTATTTTATGACAAAATAGACTATATGTTAATCCTGCTAACAAATTCCAATCATATTCGCACAGAACTGAGGTTTTAAGTTGTAAGCTTGTCAAGTGTGCTGTATTGCAGTGCTACCAGTTTCAAGAAATTATCTGAACAAAGCATGAATTTTCCAGAACCTATATGTTGTTGATGCATTCGAGACTGTATGTTCCGTTATCCCTATACTGACAAATACACTTTGAACTAGAGTGGAGAGCAAATTACTGGAGTGGTGCAATAGTTACCTACTAAAATTGACTTTGACTTGTTACATTAGAGTAGCATTCAACCTTGAACCCTTAAACTTTAAAAGTAAACCTTTCTACTGGGTTTTGATAATTCTAGAAGTCAACAAAGCCGTGGAATGACCTCGCCAAATTTCTCTTCAGTAAATATTATTGGTCAGTTGGCTGATATCATTCACTGAAAGATTAAGCTTATTAGCGGCATATGCAAATTAAGGGGTAACATAGATTACTCCAGACTATAAAAGCTTTTGCAATGAAGAACACATTATTTAAGGTACTAGCCAGAAAGCTGTGTAGAACATAACTGGTAATTATCTGATTAAATATAAGTAAATATGAAAGCAAGAAGAATAAGTATGGTTTCATGATATGGGTTTGAATAGAACCCCTAAAGCAGAACCAACATTGCATGCAGATTCTTCTAGTAAAAGATGATGATGATAATGATGGTTAATTAGATAAATAAATAAATAAATTTTGACTATGGACATACAATTTGCATCTATCAGTAAATGTATGCGTCAGATCAGTCTATTTTGATACACTTTTACACACGATACATAAAGCCTTCCATCAGCTAAGATATACAAAGCAATAGGTAATAGGAGGCAGATAAAGGATTCCAAATATAAATAAAAAGATACTACTTTTCTTCTAATAACATCATGGATATGAATTCCAAGTATAAACAAACAACTTACAAAGGGCAAAAAGGAAACGTTTTTCTTCATGCAACATGACACTATTAGGAACCATTATTTGATCCCAAAGAATGATAGTTGAGTGAAAAGCACAGGCCAATTTTCAGTTCACAAACCCCATGCCGTTATAACCAATAGTCTAACTCCATCTTTGATGCGAATGTCTCTTAAATAAGTCGTCAATTTGATTTCGTTACTAAGTTGTTTTTATTTCGTCAGGTTCCAATTTTAGAGTTTGAATGGGCTTTTGAGCTTAGAAATTGCTTAGCATTTTTCGCTTAGGGTTCTTTTAACCCATAATCAGAATATAAAAGTCAGATAGCTATTTGTGGTTTTTTAAGAGTATTCTCTTAAAGTGTTCTTCTTCGGTTCTGCAGTCTACACTACTCAACAAGCAAATGAAAAAATGATGCCGTCATGCGCGCAACTCTATTCTTACTAATGATATCATTACATCACATTTTTAAACAGCTTCGTTCCTAACAATCTCAAAGCCATTTTCGCCCCATCCAAAGCAGCATAGGCAAGCAGGATTATGAATGCCCAGAGGCGAAAAGAGCCAAACTAAAGAAAAGTTCATTGCAAAGAAGAGAAAAGGAAGGGAAGGAATGACCATACGTGGGAAGGAAATTCGCCGCAACAGCCACAGCTCTCCATAGTCCCATAAAAACTTCTGAATTCTGACCGCCAAAAAGAATCTTGCCGATCGCTTCTTCATATAAAGTCTTGGGCAAATATTGCTGAAGCTGCTGCAGCTCAATGCAAGCTTAGAGATTGAAGAGTAGGAAAGAAAGCGCTTGAGAGATCAAAATACTTCGACTTGAACTTTTAGTGCATAACAATGAAAGTTGTGTCATCAGGTCTCAATGATTGAGATATTCATACGTGTCCCTCTTAAAAATCTGACAAAACTACTCGTGCCCATACAATATTGGGCTTGTTTGTAACCCCGTTTCGAACAGATTTTTAAATAAGGCCCTGTTTGGATTGGATGACAAAGCAAACTATGGTTTGGAAGCTTAAACCATGATTTGCACATAAAATCATCCAAACAGGCAGGCATTTTGGTGAAATCGTGGTCCAGGTTGAAACCATGGTTTCCACTGGTGAAACCATGGTTTCATCAGAAGCAAGAATTTGTCGCTTCTGGCTGTAATAATTGAAGGCAACGGCATTGACCCAAAAATACCCTCTGTAGCGCTGGTTGACACTTTGGACTGGGGTTCTCTCTTCGCTCTGCTCACGCCTTCACATAGAGGAAGCTCGCCTCTTTCTCTGCTCGCCGCTTCGCTCTTCTCATGTAGCTGCTCTAAATTTCGCCGTCGCTCTTCACTTCGCCGTTGCTACTCACCTCTTTTCACCCAGCTCGCCTCTTAGTTCTACTCGCCTCTTCGCTCTTGACTTCGCCGTCGCTACTCTGCATTTTGCCGTCGATCTTCACTCAGCTCGTCTCTTAGCTTCATCAGCTCACCTCTTCCCCCTTCTTTCGCCGTCGCTGCTCTGAATTTGTACACCGGTGAGATCGTACTCGGCTTGAATTTGTCGCGTTGGGTTGTCCAATCTCTTAATCCTCGGTTTCCAATTTGAGGTTGTTCAGTTCGCCCAAGTCAGGTCGCCGTGTAGAGCTTGGTTGGTCAAATTTTCGACTCAAGTAAGCTCTCTCCGGTGACATTAAAAATTTTATTTTGGCTTCAGTATTTTACCTGTGGTAAATCGAAAGATTTTGGAATGATTTGGCTATAGTGTTCTACTATGCTCTTCGAATTGTAGCTCGGTTTCTTGGTTGTGGATCTGATTTGTTTTGCAAACTTCCTCCTACTTTCGTTTTTGAATTTGTTCAATCAGTTTTTTGGAAAACTGACCGGCATGTTGATCGAAGGAATGAGATATTATTGCTTGCTTTGGTTTCATAGTAGTCTGATTTTTTTATGAAACGAAATGTGGTTCTGGAGGCAGGGGATATATTTGGTGATATTGTTTTGGAGACAAGAAAGCCTGCAAATTGAATTCTACTGGGTATATAAAATGCAAATTCTTTTTGCTTTGGTTGCTTGGCGTGGGGTCCCTTTTTCCTGTCTAGATTCCCCTCGAGAAGAAGCCTGTGAAGTCTACATAAGCCGAGACAAAACTTTCTTCACATACTTGTCTCGTATTCTATAAATCAGGTTTAAAAAGCTACTTATATGTCAATCCAAATAAGCTCATTATTAATAATTAAAATTTCGACTGTTGGGGAAAAAAGGAAAATTTCATTTTTCATTTTTTTCCTCACAAGGTATAGTTCACTTTCATGTGTGTGTACCATTTTTTCAATTAGAATTGCACGCACTAATTTATAATTTACGAAGTTACGTTGACTGTGTTACCATCTCTTTCTAAATTGTCCTTTTACCAATTGTTAGGAAAATAAGGGTAGAGTTAAACCTTGTGTTACCTACCACACAAGAGCTGCCGCCAAATGATTCAACTAAACATGAATTGATTATGCATTTTTTGCTGAGAAAATGAGATGAGGGCAACAAAATAGCAAAATAGATTGTGTTGTTCTTTATGTCATTTGGTATATGAAGAACAATGCAAAACTACTGACTTTTATCAGGTTGCCTCAAAAGTCATATTTGAATTCACACCTAAATACAAGTGTAATTTTATCAAGTTCTTAAATCCACTCTAGGCCCATTTGTATCGGTAATTATAGCTTTAGTTATAATATAGACATAACACTAAACAAACATTCACATTATCAATATCAATATCAATATATCTCTAATAATAGTTCCCCTCAAGCTACATGAGCCATATGAAATGTAATTATATTCTAATTTTTTCCCAAAAGTATTAGGTTTATTTAATATAAACTAAAATCAACAAAAAAAAGTTCTAAACAAAAGACAAAACACAAAAAGGATTCAAATCCAAACAATATAATCTTAAGCTCAAAAAACAACTCAACTACGAACTCTGATCCAGTCAAAGATAGAGGGCTAATTGTGCTGTTGCTGCCAAAAAACAGAAGAAACACATTTAACTATGCTAGAAACAAGGGATGAGTGTTCAAAGAACCGTCACTGTCGCGCCTGAATCCTGGTTATCCCATAAAAAGAAAAGAAAGAGAAGTCGCCACCAAAATTTTAAAAGATTAATTTTGAAA